GACGTACTCTAAAAAATAAAAAAGATATCTCTTGAAAAATTTCATGTTGAAAAAAATTAAATGTTGAAAACTAAAACACTTTTGTATAACATTGTACATATCCTTTACATTATTATATGATATTTTTTTTATAAGAATCTTTGAAATGCTCTTATCATTTCTTGAAAAATAACGTTTACCGCCGACATTAACGTTACCCAATGTGCATCTTACCTAATGTCGGCAATAAACATTATTCTTCAAAAAAAAGCACGCAAATGTTTCTTATTTGAAATAAGGGGGGAGGGATTGTATATCTTCGTGAATGTCCGAACGTTTCGGCTTGCGATTATTAGCATCTCAGATTGATTGTGTTTTAATGTCCGAACGTTTCGGTACATAGTTGCATTTGAGAATAATTAAATTCATGAATATTTATATTATTTGAAATAATCAACTTTGACCAATCCTAAAGCGCTCTCTATTATATTATGTTGTTATATAAATTATATTAGCTCGGTGGGTTTCTATTTCTAATTCTAAATGATCCTTTAACTTCAAAATAGAATACCTTCGTCAAAATTATCATAACGAGATTTTTTTTAAAAGCATTTTAAAAGTTAAAATCTTTACTTTTGAAATTGGTAATTGTAAATTTTGTACAAATTTTCACATTTGACGGGTATCCATTTGTGTCCGAATAACTCCATAAAGAATCATTCAGATTGAAATATCAATTACCGATTTCGAAAATCAGGGTTGGCATTATTTTATCCACTACATAAAAACCCAGAGTTTTTTTGGATTTTACTTACTTAAAAAACCTGAAATTTGTGAATTTTTTTGAGTTTCAGTGGAATTTTATATAAAATAAATTTTTTTATCGGTAACACATAAAAGGAACGTATTTATAAATATAGATATACTAAACTAATTGGCCTAATATAATTTTAACATATTATATTATACCAATTTTTAATATATACAGGATACAAAAAGTCTCGGATCATAAATATCTTGAAAAGTAGGCATTTTTGAAAGAAATGCTTTAGACAAACTTGTACGGTTTAAAAATATTTACTAATTGCATGCACGCACGCACGCACGCACGCGCATATACCAGGTGTACAAGTATGAAGTGCGGATTTGAGACAGATGGTGCACCAATGCAATGTGTAGTATAAAGATTTGACTATATGCCATTTTGTTATGCTTTTGACGTATATGCCATTTTGTTGTGCCATCAAACGTAAGTGATAAATTGAAAAAGTGTTTGCAGTATTGTTTTGCTGTGTTCAATATGTCGAAATTTGTGCCGAAATAAAGAGTATTCGCGGGCAGCATTAATTTTTTGTTTTCATTTGAAGAAAACTGCTGCTGAATCATACCGATTACTTCGAGAAGCTTATGGTGAACATGTTCCATCGCAAGATACGTGTGAACGATGGTCTCGGCGTTTCAAAAGTGGTGATTTCGATGTTGCAGACAAGGAACACGGAAAACCATCAAAAAGGTACGAAGATGTAGAATTGCAAGTATTGTTGGACGAAGACGATTCACAAACACAAAAACAATTCAACTCACAGAGCAATTAAGCAATGCTTTAGACAAACTTGTACGGTTTAAAAATATTTACTAATCGCACGCACGCACGCACGCATGCACGCACGCACGCGCATATAGGGTGTACAAGTATGAAGTGCGGATTTGAGACAGATGGTGCACCAATGCAATGTGTAGTATAAAGATTTAACTATGCCATTATGCCATTTTGTTATGTTATCAACAAGTGTCAAATGCGCATAAGTAATAAATTGAAAAAGTGTTTGCATAGTATTGTTTTCCTGTGTTCAATATGTCGAAATTTGTGTAATAAAATAAAGAGCATTCGCGGGCAGCATTAATTTTTTGTTTTCATTTGAAGAAAACTGCTGCTGAATCATACCGATTACTTCGAGAAGCTTATGGTGAACATGTTCTATCGCAAGATACGTGTGAACGATGGTTTCGGCGTTTCAAAAGTGGTGATTTCGATGTTGCACAAGGAACATGGAAAACCGTCAAAAAGGTTCGAAGATGTAGAATTGCAAGCATTGTTGGACGAAGACGATTCACAAACACAAAAACAATTCAACTCACAGAGCAATTAAGCATTAGTCAACAAGCTGTTTCCAATCGCCTACGAGAGATGGGAAAGATTCAGAAGGTCGGCAGATGGATACCATATGAGTTGAACGAGAGGCAGATGGAGAGGCGCATGTGAAATTTTGCTCGAACGATACAAAAGAAAGTCGTTCTTGCATCGTATCGTTACTAGGGATGAAAAGTGGATATATTTTGAGAATCCCAAGCGCAAAAAATCATGGGTAGACCCAGGAGCACCATCCACATCGACCGCAAGACCGAATCGCTTTGGCAGGAAGACGATGCTCAGTGTTTGGTGGGACCAGAAGGGTGTGGTCTATTATGAGCTGTTAAAGTCTGCTGAAACGGTTAATACCAAACGCTACAAACAACAATTGATCGATTTGAACCGTTCTCTACTCGAAAAACGACCAAAATATCATCTAATATAATATAAAATATAATATAATATAAATAAATATAAAAAAGGCAATACAAGATCATTTTTCTCCATGACAATCCATCACATACGGCAAAACCTGTTCGCGACACGTTGGAAGCACTCAGCTGGGAAGTGCTAGCCCATGCGGTTTACTCACCAGACTTGACTGCTTCCGATTACCATTTGTTTGCATCGATGGGTCACGCACTTGCTGAGCAGCGCTTTGGTTCGTACGAAGATGTGAAAAAATAGCTCGATGAATGGTTCGCGGCAAAAAGGAAAGATTTTTACTGGCGTGGTATCCACAAATTACCCGAAAGATGGGAAAAATGTATAACTAGCAATGGAGCATACTTTGAATAAATCATTTTTCATTCTTCCGAATTTAACGTTGTTTTTTTAGAAAAAAAATTCGCATTTCATACTTGTACACTTGTACTTGGTATATGCACACGCGTGTATATGTATGCTATTATATATGTATAGTGTGTGTGTGTGTATATTTGTAAAACGCTACGAATTAATTCCAACACCTAATATATATATATATATATATGTTATTTTATATATATGCATCAATAATTTACTAAATAAAATGTATATATGAAAAACAGAACAGCGTAATTAAAATAATTATCTTCATTTATATTCATATGTAAATAAATATTTCTTGTTTATAAAAAAATTATTTTAATAAAATTGAAATAACTAATATCATATTTTATGATTATTTTTCCTCTCAAAAGAAAAAACTTTGACCAAGGCATATAAGAACGTTTTTTGATATGGTCCATAAGTAAGTCGATAATTCAGATCATTTCTATGATTCAGCGGCGCACTTTTCAGCACCGCTGTCGAAATATCGCGGAACTAAAATATTGCTCGGTTTCATGGCTTCACGTCAATTTCACTCACGTAATATACAAATGAAATTTTCGGCAACACTTTTCTTTTATATTAAAGCCCCTATCTCGTTTCTAAAAGCATAGGATTGTTCTTTCAGGTTTTCTGCAATTCGTCAGCTACTTTTTATAAACGTGCAGGGTCTGAAACTCTTATATGCAGCACATATTGTGACGTATTGTTGACTACAGAAGCCGATAATAAAACTGTAAGTCTTCAATTTCGTTTTTCGTATTCATTTGTAGCTTGCGAATTGCATTGTTGTCAATACTTTAATTGTGTGTGGAGAAGGAATTTTCAATCCATAAATAGAGTCTTTAATAATTAATGATAAAACAGGACACTCCAGCATTCCCTTAATTAAGTGGGCTACTTAGATTTTATTCGAAAAGCGATATATTCTTAGAGCCTTTTTTTTCCTTTTTTTTAAAAAGCTGTAAGCTTGTACTAATATTACGCATTTTGTAACGAACGTCTTTATAAATAATTTATCTTATAATTGATTTTAAGAAATAGATTTTCATTTTGTTTGTACAAAATTTGGAGAAGTCATTTTTTCATTATCATTTCGTTGCGTAGTTAATTACCAGCGTGTAATTTTATTTTCATCCGATCACCTTTTGTTAAATATGAAATCATAAAGAAATGGAGATCTCGAGGTCGAATAAATCGCTTTGTCATCATCTTTTGTCTTAACAAATAAAGACAGATTTTTAATTAATAGATATATCGATACGAAGCCGTAATAGCACTTTTTTCTTACATCCAATGCCATTTTAGGTTACGATAATACATTATCATAAATGAATATCATAATATACGAGTATATATGGATATTCATGCAGATATTGTGTTTGAAATGTCGAATTTTGTGTTAACCAAGCAGCATTTGCGGGAGGTTCTAATTTTCTGCTTTAATTGGAAGAAAAGTGCAGCTGAAGGCCATCGAATGCTTGTCGAAGTTTATGGTGACACTGCTCCAACTGATAAATTATGTAGGGAATGGTTTCGACGTTTCAAGGATGGAGATTTCAGCGTTAAAAGCCTCGCTTTAGACAGTCAAAAAAATTCGAAGACAAAGAATTAGAGGCATTACTCGAAGAAGATCAGAATCAAACGCAAGAGAAGCAGAATCATTGGGAAATTTATAAACAAATAAAGATTGATGATGAATAAATAGCTTTTTTATTATCATTTCCTATCTTAGTTAACAGATACCAGCGTAAAATTTCGTTTTCCTCTGATCTCCTTTTGTTGAATATTAAGTTACAAACAAATGGAAATCATTATTGAATAAATGGCTTTATCATTAACATTTTCTAACTTAGTTAACAAATACCAGTATATAATTTCGTTTCCCTGGCGCTAAGCCCGGTCAATCGTTGCCCGGTCAATCGACCTCAACATCAACACCAAAGCCGAACATTCATGGTTCGAAGATCCGTATCTGGTGAGACCAAAAGGGTGTTGTTTACTATGAGCTGCTGAAACCTGTTTACTAATTGCTTCGCCTCCGGTTCTGGATTCCACAAGGCCGAGCGGTAGTCAAGCGATGGCTGCATCAGTGCGTGACATGCACTCGGTGGAGGGCTGCCACTCCACAACCGAGAATGGGAAACCTTCCTCCAGGAAGAGTGACTCCTGCACGACCATTTCTTCACGTGGGCATCGACTACGCCGGGCCTATCTTCATCAGGACGAGCAAAGGGCGTGGGCACAGCGCTCACAAAGCGTTCATCACGGTTTTCATTTGTTTTAGCTCCAAGGCCGTTCACCTCGAGGCTGTTTCAGCATACACCACCGACGCGTTTCTGGCTGCTCTCCGTCGCTTCACATCTCGCCGAGGACTTTGTACGGACATCTACTCCGATTGCGGCACCAATTTTTCAGGCGCCGACCGGCAACTTCGAGAGATGCTCCGAGCCTCTCGTCAGAAGGACGAAAGATCGCACATGTCGCTACATCAGAGGGGATCCATTGGCATTTTAATCCCCCTTCGGCACCACATTTTGGTGGACTCTGGGAGGCGGCCGTGAAATCTGCCAAGTATCACCTGCGCCGAACCATCGAAACCAGGCTCACCTTCGAGGAAATGAGTACCCTGCTCGCACAAGTGGAGGCATGCCTGAACTCCTGGCCCATGCATGCCCTCTCAGATGACTCCGACAACCTCACTGTTCTGACACCAGATCACCTGCTCATCTGCACCTCTGCTGACCATTCCCGAGCCATCCTTGTCGGACAAGAAGGAAAATTTGCTTTCCAGATGGCAACTTGTGCAGCGGATGCGAGATCACTTCTGGCAGAGATGGTCACGCGAGTACTTACACACTCTGGCTACCAGACCGAAATGGACCAAGGACTCTTTGCCACCACGCATTGGATCTCTATGCATCATCCGTTCTGAGCTCTCACCGCCAAATAAGTGGCCACTGGCATGGATCACGCAGCTACATCCGGGAGACGACGGCATGGTGCGAGTGGTCACGGTCAAAACAGCCTCATCCGAATTAATTCGTCCTTTGGTCAAATTAGTTTTATTGCCAGAGGATGCTAACGCGTTTATCTCGCACGCTAATGTATCAAATGTAAAGGAGAGCTTGAATTTATCGCGTGTACTTTCGTGAATCATTGCTTCAATGTTATTTGTCACATAACTCTCGTTTACAGTTCAAGCTCTTCTACGGAATCATTGGATTGTATCGCTTGTCTTATGTACGCGTTTACTGTTTTTTTTTTACTGTAATCTCAATGCGTTCATCGCATCGCAAGTACTTACGCAAGTACGTGTGCTCCGACGTGCTGTGTCATACACACGTGCTCAGGTTGAAAGTCCACCGTGCATTGCGAGAAAAACAGCCGAAATACGAGCAAAAACATGATAAAGTTATTTTTCTTCATGACAACGCTCGGCATCATGTTGCAAAAGTCATAAAAAAATATTTGAAAATCGCCCGAGGTAACTTCTATACATATATCGTCACGGAGATGACAAGGCGGGCGGGAATGTTTGAGATCGGTAATTCGAAAAAAGGTAAGAACTCTTTCGATCGACCGACAGTAATTGTTATTGCACGCATAAAGTGAGCTCGTGATTTCATCTCGAGCATGATCTTAATTTTCGTTAAAATCGTCGATTTGGAGTTCTTTGTCCTTTTAAAACAATTCGGTACACGCAAACAAGCTCCGGCAACGGACAATCGAAAGTTCTAGAACAATTCAATTCGCGCACGCGAGCGCCGCGCTCCGACGAATACGTCACGCGCTGTCACCAATCCCACGCACGGATTTTCTGTCGCGCATGACTGTTACGTTGAACGTCGTTAGAAAAGAATCCAAAACGCCAATCAATATTGTACAACTAATGTCACGTAATAATTACGATTGTGGCAAAATTTTATTGGATTTTTCCCAAGAAGGAAGCCCAGGCCGAAAGCAATAAATGTTTCGATCTCGCCGTCCTCCTTCTTAGAGTCAAAAAAGTTCTCAGAGTTCTTAGAGTCTTGTTAGAGTCAAAAAAGTTCTCAGAGTTCTTAGAGTCATAATCTTGCTATTATATCGTAAAACCACCGTGCTAACCGCTTAGTGAAAACCGCTATAAGAAAGATCTTTTCGAGAAGTGCCGAGAAAATTCGCCGAGATCTGATGTATTATTAAAAGTGCCAGTTCAAAGTAAACATATATATTATAAATTAAACAATTAAATGATAATCTTATAACATATTATCATGACAAGTAACCGATATATTATTAAAGGTGCCAGTTCAAAGTGAACATACATCAACCTAAAAAATTTCTACCTTCAAAAATTTTAATGATTATCTAATCGGAGTTTTCTTTACTGTCATGTATCGTTTCAACCTTGTGCCGTTTTCTCACTAGAATCTTTCCGCGAGGTGCATTCCCGCACAGCCGGCATCCGCAGTGTCGAGTGCATCGCGTTCAGTTTGCTAGTGCTGAAAAGAAATCATGAGTGACGAAATAACCGCCTTGCTGATCGCCCAGAGTGACATCCATGGTCGCATGGCCAGGTCAGTGACGAATTTGAAAAAATTGGGGGTGGCCAACCATTTAAAATTTATACTAGCCCGTACAATGAAAAATAATTGCTCGTAATTCCAGAGTACCAATTTGTGACTCGGAAAAACAACATGTGTTCAATGATGGTCAAGCCTATGTAGGTTTATCACGAGTGAGTACATTAGAAGTCCTACATTTGATAGATTTTAATCTGTTAAAGCAAACTCGAGAGCCATTGTAGAATATAATCGACTGAGATCTGTGTTCAAAGCTCAGCTACTACAAATCAATTTGTCCGAGAAAAAGGCTGTGAAAATTCACGACTGTCGATAGGCCATATCATTGATGATGTACAGAATTATGGTTGCCAGAAAGTATAGTTACATGGAAAATATATTGCGGCCTCCGCAATGACGATCATGTTTCGTGTTACGCTAATGTAATATTACAATGTGCGTATATTATTGTGTACGTATCAGGCAAATATTGAAAAATAAAATATCGAATGTATTGACTGATGTTATCTGCGTATTATCTGCGTGTATGCTGAGCGTAAGTGTTGTAATATTCTAGAAGATCTGTCGGAGAACGCTTCAAAGAACGAACACAACAAGATATTTTGGAATTTTCATAGTTCTAATATCGACGTATTCCGAAATCAATGATGTATTAGAACTCGAATTAAAGCACGTAACTTGTTCAAATATCAAATGTAATTACAATGTAACTACAATGTAATTACAATGTAACGCTGGAAAAGAGTTGTTTGCTAATATTATCCATACAGTCGACATTAAAAAGGAAAAAAAGGTCACTCTGCAAACTTTGATTGACTGCAAACTTTAAAATTTTCGAAATGAGAAACGATAAATGGCAATTGTAACGAATGTAAGGGTATCGTTCTGAAAAAGAAAACCGTAATCGAATCGATTTTATCTTAATAATACAGCGATGTGATGTTCCCCAATGTGGTTTTGCGGAGGTGCTGAATAGGGGGAATTTTTTAGCAGGTAGACGATAATGTCCGCTGTCCTTCCGTAGGAGGGACGCATACTCATCGAATCCTGCACAATCAGGACCGATGTCCTGGATGTCTTCCCCTCATCCGGTTAGGTTCTCCTTCGGGAGCATCCCGGATGAGGGGCTATGTAAAGATTTTTCTCTTCCTCGCAAACAAAAAAAAATCTATATTCATACAATATTCATTCTTTTACAATCAAAATGAATATTAAAAGTAACACAAATGTACAAAAAGTTGTTAAAATCGAAGAGAAGAAAATATGTTTGCGTCCTCACGAGAATGGGCAATGGAGGGTCCATTCTTTATTTTAAGTACATTCATAATGACACGCGCTACATCAACTAAATACCTCAAGAGGTCAGCTCACTGTCGGCAGTGCGCCGCGACAAAGACCATAAGGCTATTTTGCTCGCAACTGTGCGAGTTTCCATCGCTGATCGTCACGGCAATCGGCATACCGCACGCGTGCTCATCGACCAAGGCTCGGAAATTTCTTTGATTTCCGAAGCTCTGGTCCAGCGCCTACTGTCTGCGTTCACTGACAAGTAATGTCGGTCGACTGAAAGAATTCTTGCCTTTCTTTCGAATTACCCATCTCAAACAGTGACCCTCAAGGTGACCTCGTTAACCACAGGAACCGACTTCACCGTCGGAGCATTTATTCTGCCACGTCTTTCGCTTTACTAAGGCTCTCACGCAAGGATCAGAATGGAGTGGCCACACTTGAAGGGGCTCCAATTGGCTGATCCAAACTACGCAGCAAACGACTCTATTGAGCTACTTTTTGGAGCGGAAGTATGCTCGACCATTCTCCAGGATGGTCTTCGCAAAGGAAGCCCCCAAGCACCTATCGTTCAAAAGACACTGCTCGGCTGGATCCTATCGGGAGGCAAGTAACCAACTCAGCACAGCGCCACTCGCTTCAGTGCACCGCAGATCATGAGCTAGCCGAACTTGTGCACCGCTTCTGGGAGCAGGAACGAGAGGTGCCCACTCCCGTCGCACTCACGTCAAAAGAGCAGCTATGTGAAGACATTTTCGCGCTGCAGCACCAACGCACTGCCGAAGGACGATACATAGTGCGACTACCTTTTGCATCTCCGCCGACGACGCTGTTTGAGACGCGAAGATCTGCTGAACGACTCTTAATCGCCATGGAGCGACGCTGTGAGAAAGACGCACGATTTGGCGATCTCTACCGAGCCTTCCTGAAGGAATACGAGGACCAAGGTCACATGGAATTGGCGCAAGAACCTTCGAATTCTGGCGAAGATCGGTGCTACCTTCCACATCACGGCGTCCTTCGAGAATCCAGCACCACTACGAAACTCAGGAGCATCACTACGAAGCTCAGGGTCGTCTTCAACGGATCGCAGTGTACAAGGTCCGGTGAGTCACTCAATACTCATCTGCTAACTTGCTGCCACCCCTCGCGAACGTACTTCTGCGGTGGCGATGGCATCGATACGCGCTAGTGGCTGACATCGAAAAGATATATCGGCAAATTCTTGTTCATACCGACGATCAAAGGCATCAATGCATTCTCTGACACAGTGTTGATGAGCCTATACGCGAGTTTACTTTGAAAACCGTCACTTACGGTCTCGCATGCGCACCATTTCTCGCCATTCGCACTCTGCGTCAACTCGCCGACGACGACGGATCGCATTTCCCTCGAGGCGCAGATGCGTTACGACACGACTGCTACGTCGACGATGTCGTAACCGGAGCGCATAACAATGACGATGCTATCGCTCTCCAAGTCGAGCTCCGCAACCTCTGCATGGCGGGCGGGTTCTCTCTTCGAAAGGGGGCCGCCAACTGCCAGAAGCTTCTTCGCGACATGGGAGCTTCTTCGCGACATTCCGCCCGAGTACTGCCTCACCAGGGACTCGCGGTCGTGGGAACAAGAGAACCACTCAACTCTATTGCGCTGGTATCCAACCAGGGACGAATTCGCCTTTTCGGTTCCTCCTCGCACCGTCGTCGCGTTTACCAAGAGAAGTCTGCTGTCGGAGACCGCTCGACTCTTCGACCCGCTCGGATGGCTGACTCCAGTAACCATTCATGCAAAAATTCTAATTCAGTCGACCTGGCTGCAACAGCTAGATTGGAACTCACCATTGCCGTCAATCATCACTGGAAAGTGGAAGCTGGTTGGTAAGCACAGGGTCGGCCGCTGGCTCGGCACCGGCGACACGAGCTCTCAGCTTGAATTACACGGCTTCGTAGACGCGTCCGAAAGAGGTTACGCCGCTGTGGTGTATCTCCCCATCACCGCAAACAACCAAACTAAGACTCGATTATTGACAGCCAAAAGCAAGGTCGCGCCGATCAAACTTGTTTCTCTCCCGCGACTCGAACTCTGCGCCGCCGCCTTACTTTCAAGTGTACTCTTGCACACGCGCTCTGTGCTAAACTTAGCTGCAACGCCAGTGATCTTGTGGTCAGACTCCAAGGTCACGCTCCACTGGATTCGAGGTCACGCCTCTCGCTGGAAAACTTACGTGGCCAACAGGCAGGATCCCAGCAGCAACTTCCGGAGGCTCAATGGCGTCATGTCCCGGGCAAGGACAACCCTGCCGACTGTGCCTCCCGGGGGCTGACACCACGCGAGGTCCTCAGCCATCCCTTGTGGTGGACAGGTCCCGCATGGTTATGCGGGAATCCGACGCAATGGCCAAG